TTCTGCACGGCGAGGTGTTTGTTTATTCTTTGATAAAAGCCCTGATTCTTAAAAATTGACATCTCTTCTATAAAATACACCACTTTTGTAGCAAAGCCCCCTGTTTACCATGCAAACATTCCTTAAAAACTATCTCCATTTTGACTATTATAACTTTCCTCTCCTTTTCAACTCATCTTGTGCATGCAGACAGTGGCAGCTACTGTGTAATAGGGCTTTGCTGAGACAACTGTCATAGCGGCTCCTTATATTTCAGTGGAAATTCGTATAACCTAAGTTAGCCTAGTGTCTGCGATTGCGATTTCAACTGGCAAGGTGCAATCTGGTAGTTCTAAATATGAGAATATTCAAAATTGGCGTAAATTAGCGAGATAATTCGAGTAAGCGTAGTAAAATAAATGCCCCAAAAGCAACCTACTGATCTGTTGTGTTAAATTGTACAAGTTATGTCTTGGAAGGCATTCACAATCGACCCTGATTCGCCCCCTCAAGTTGCATCCAAAGGCTACTCTTTTAGTGCAGCCACATTCGGCCCAGCAGCGCCGGCCTAGACCTTGCGCTAAACTGCCGCGGTTAGCGCGGTCTCAATTGCCACCCTCTCCACACCACGCGCCAGTACACGGGCTTCACAAGTAAAAGTGCCACGCTCGTGTGCGTCGTATGTGTGCGTGCGTGCGTGTCTGAAGCGCGCTCGCTCCGCACGTGCATGTCGCTCACGCTACCGTTTACCCATGTAGGCGGTCCTGGTTTTGAGGTAAACAGGGGAGGAAACACAAATGAGCGTGCATGGCTGAAGCGGGGTATCTTCCGAGTGAATAGATCAACTTGATCACCTACTCGACCCCAGAGGCTGTAAATGGGACTATCCACACGGACACTGCAAAAATGGCAATTAGAATATCGCTCTTGGTGTTGTGACATTACTTATCCGGATCTTAAGTGGGCCCACCGAATGTTGGGTTACCTAATTAGGGGCTTTTTGGATGATCGGAACATAGCCCTGCTCAAAACTCCACCTCCCGTCCAGTTTGCTGGAGCTGCTATTAGTGATGGCGGTGATTGAAAATGCCCCACTCCCATGAGAATCGGCTGAAAAAATCATACAAAACGGCGTTTTCCATTTAATATTTTTTTCCTGAAGCGAACCCAAGGCCTCTTTGAAGTTAAAAAAGCAAAACGTTGTTTGCAATATAACGTGAAAATAGCACTTCTTATATCACATGATGTTCTCGCTCTGTCACTCGCCTTTTTTCACCAACTTGACTCAAAAATGATGGGCTTGTAGCGTAGTGTGCACGACGAAACATTACTTTCCTCTTAACTAGGGTATTGTTATTACCATTAGTGCATTTTACAGTTTTCTGAGGTCGCGTGGTTTACTTTAGTAGTGATCCCGCTTTGATTAGATGCAACGTATCCCTTAGTTAAGTATTTAAAGGTTTGTACCCAAAAGGCTGTTCTGATGCCCTGGAAATTTACCTCATAGGTAACGCAAGTGTTCCTTCAACAGTGCATTATCCCACATACAATAGCCTTTGTGGTCTGATTTATCGACAAATACAACTTCTTATTAGACAGAGGCTAATGGCGCTCATTCGTGTGCGTAATCACGCTAACTTCGGCTGGAATTTATTCTAAACGCTACAAGTCTGCTTAAAAGGGGATTACGTCAGCCAAATTGAGGTGCGTTTCTCATGTCAACACGGTCTTTGGAAGTTAATAATTCCAGGGCTACAGCGTGTCGTAATTTTTAGCATTTCTGTTCCTTTGCATGATTTAAGTGACAATATTCGTATTCTTCAGGAGTATCTTTATTTAAGAATGAGTTTACTTAGCCACACATCTTAGGTCTGAAAAGTTTATTATTATAGCATATTCGTTATTACTTCCTGTGTATTATTCCCCAACATTTTCGCTAGCCAGGAAAAAACTAAGGAAATTGTAGACGCACGATCTGTTAGAGCGCCTTGAGCCTTAGGCTACTTTATTTGCATAACGTTTTCTCGGCAGGCAAAGCTTTAGGTGTAAATTCCCGTCCATGCTGTTTTAAATGTGCATCTAGGTTTAAACCCATGTGTGGGTTTAAAGGTGCCAGCTTCTGGGGCATCTCCCGATGACCTTTTTAATGGGGTCTTTCTTTGTACTATTCAACAACTAAACTTAATCGCGGTAGCAGCACGCGCACTAATTTTACCACGCATTTGGTCTTCAGAATATAAGCGCTTGAAAGTAATTTTTTTCATTAAATGAAAAATGCTATGGCTATATTTTGTGAAGACGTGATCAACTTACCTGTAATGTGGTGGTTAGCATTATTTAAATTTGTGTCCACAATTTAAGTGTATTAAATTGCAAAGTTTACATACTTTCGGGGAATATCCAGCCATTCCCCTTGATGGGGGGTGTTGTTAGGTTGTACTACTATTATCGATCTTCACAATGTTGGATTTTGAATTCACTGTTATGACTGCACAAACGGCGTCATTAAAGACTAGCTAGAAGGCGGTACTTGTACCTGGGGGGACATTAACGGACGTTTCGGCCCAGTGGTACATGTGAGTTCTGAATCCCCTTGCCTTCGGTATGGTGTCACATTTGGCACGCGTGACTCATTCATCTAATGTGCACGGATGTGACAAAGCGATTCATTGGGTTGTGGTGTAAGGGAGGCGCGATGGTTTCACGCTCGTGCGTGTGACCACGAGCCACCGCTTCCCTCATTCCCCCCTTCTCCCTGTGCCCACCGCAGTGGTGACAGCTGTGTCTGCACTGATACGCTATGCCTTTCTGAATTTAGTAAGAGCCGACGCCCCGCTCTAGTTGTCTGTCTCAAGCTATTTACAAGACAATCTCGAAGTAGGATCGGAAAAAGGCCTTCCACTGTAGACCGGTTTATGTCTTCACTTTTTCCTTATGCTTTGGTTAAATTACGTTGTTTTGATAAGACAGTTTATTTACTAGGTTACATGGCTCTGGTAAATTGAATAGATTCCATAGGTTCGTTAATAGACCTCCTGCATCGTCGTGCGATATAAGTAAGAACAAAGTAGCCTTTTGCTTGGTGCATTTTTGTGTCCGAGGCTGGGGTAAACTCCATACCTTGACCGTGAAGAACACAAGTGAGTGTCATTAGAAGACACTTTAGTGGACTTACCGTGTAATAGTTTAAGTAGTGCCTGGAGAATGTGGACTTCCGAAAAACAAGACTCGTGCATGCGACAGCAAACTTCTTTTAGAGCCTGATTCCCCTCATTTGTCTTAGAGCTCGTGTTTCTTATTTAAAACATCGTTAGTTTGTGTGTGTGCAAAGGAAGCGGTTCTGAATTTGTCTAGCAGCGTGTTTGCCAAAACGCACCCACACCTTGCCATTATTTCGACTAACGGAAAGTCATCGCCATTTGACGGAAATGCTAGGCGTCCAACTTCCTCCCATTTATGCCATTGTTGGCCTCGTTTTTTCCCGAATGAGAATTTTGGCGCAAATGTTAAATTTTACTTGAGATAAGTATCAGCGGCAAAAAATCACATTTTGAAATTTGTCGTTCAAGCCCATTTTATCCCAAGAGTTGTGATTATTGGGAAACAACTTTTGCCAGTAATAGTATTGACAGTCGTGTAACTTCTACATTGTCTGTCCCAAGTGAACTTCAAACGCTGCACTTGGTTATTGGTTCTTCTTCCGTTGAAGATTTCCAGTGTGTTGCACTCAGTCGCCTTTCTGCTATTCCTTTTCTTTGCTGTCCCATGCGAAAGTGTGGGTGTGAATAAAATGCTAGTAATTCTACTTTGATCCGGACCGAATCTACAATGACACGTTGTACAACAATGATTTCTGTTCGGTTAGTTTATCGCCACTTTTGTACTCTCATAGCCGATAAAAGTCGTGGTTGTTTTCTAAAGTAGTTAGGAATCACATCGGTCCAGTTTCCCTCTAGTTGAGTATGCAATTAAGTGTGTCGAGCTTTAATATTTGCTAAGGTTCATATAGCGTAAATCGCGCGATTTTGGTAACCTTGAGTCACTGGTGCGCCATTTCTGCATGCGTGAAATTGTTATTGAGTGGACAACATAGGTGATCAGCTAGACATAATTGTCATGAATACGCCGGTATCAGCCAGCTTATTCCCGATCTCATGGTTTCAAAAGCCAAATTATACCTCATGTTAACACTCCGTTTAGATCAGCCTCCAAATCACGGTAGCATTACCCTTTACTATTTACCTGATGCGCGTAGATAGGTAGTCGAAGAGGGAGCTTATTTTGGAGGCCGGTAGGAAGGGCACGAATACTCCCACACCAATTAGCCACTTCCTAGCTAAGTGTTCACTTTCATGATAGATGTCAGAGGCAGTACTGATGGTGGTAAAGTGTGCTCACACATGTTTAATCTCACTGGCATTTTCATCGAAAATGTTTGATAACCCGATACGTTTAGATGGACGGGGTGTTTACAGGCTTCCTGGTAAATTTAAAACAACCTTGGCGAGGTCTAAATGTTACTGGAAGGATTTACTAGAATGCCAGCATTTAAGTATAAGATGTGCTATAGGGTGGATGAACCACAGCCGTCATTCTAGTCATGGATTTTGTCGTTTGAATCAGTTTTACGTCGTTGATAACAGGCGTTTATTTGTCCATGGTCTTGCATGTACAATTGTCGACTGTTTTTAGAAATAGGAATGAGTTGGCGTTGTTTGCATTACATAATTCATAATTACCTGTTTGATTTATCACGTCTCCAAGGTCAGGGAGTGTCGAAGCGATGCGTAATTAGTGTTTCACTATGTAATCAAACTTGTGTGCACACTGTTGCACTTTGCACATACCGCTCTTAACATTTCAGTGAGACCCAGGGGTCGCAACTACAATGATCAACGACTGCCTCTTGCGTTAAGCGGTCGACTAAATAGTGTACCGACATACGAATGTCCGCTTACATCAGACTTTTCTGCTTCCACTAGCACTACGATGAGGTGGTCGCGTACCAAAGCCTTCTGACGATGCCGGTGAGTGAATTTGCCAGCCGAGTTCTTAAGGGAGTTGCGGGGTCAATGCGACTGACTGACTGTTCTACTGAGCTCCCCACAGCACTTCATCTCAGGCCTGTTGCTCGCATTAACTCCGATCAAGTAGAAACCCAAACAGGTACGACTGGTTTCTTTTTCGTTTTGCCTACCAGAGACGCATCGAGGTATTTTTGGGGCCACTGGGTCTTAATTTTGCATACATTTTGTCTTGCTATATGGCCCCCTCTTTTCGTATAGCTTTGTTAAGTATGGACCACAGCAGTCATTTAGCGCTGTGACTATATGGAAATCTGAAGGAGAATGAATAACGAGAATTGAAGACCGCACTTCAGCAATCGCCGTCTTCCAAATTTTAAACAAGATGGCCCAGCGTTATGAAGTTTAGATTTTCCAAAACTGTTGTGAAGATTCGTTTTAGAAAGCATTTCTGAACACAACAATTATGCAACAGTAGTATTTACTGGGTAGTACGCAATTTTGTTCTGGCTAGAAACCGTGAAATGGTAACCCAGATCAAATTTAATAGACTCGGAACGACACAGTTAGAAGTTTGAGAACATCTACTGAACTGTTTGATCTGCAGTTTTTGCAAACTATCTTCTCTGATGTTTGTGGTAATTATGGCATCTTATCTAAGGGCTGTCTCTTGTTCGGACTAGCAAGCTTGTAAGTTGTAGAAAATCATTTTAAACGACACGAACAGATTCGTAACTAAGCTTGTGATTTTAACTTGGTGTGCAGGTGGTGCTTGCTTTCATTACCTTATGGCTCTGATAGTTAGCAGCCCGTTACGACCCAAGAGACAGGATAGGCGACAGCTGATGCGACCATTTATTCTCGTCGGGACAGCCAATTGCGTCTGTGTGAGGACGTGTGAGTGTGGTTAGCAAAAGTAACCAATGAAAGACAAGGGTGAGCAGTTGACACCAGTTTACTTTGTGAGCAAGCTCCACTCACGTGTCCGCTGACAGGCCACTACGAATATCCGCCCCCTTAGAGTATTAACTGTGTCAGCAAAGCGGACAGGGTGTATTGGGCATGAGGAAGAGACTGCTGCCGTCCGTGTAAGCAACTCTGAGGCGGTCTGAACTCACGATATCCTATGCTCTACTACTCTGCGCTACAGCTATTTAAAATTGATGCCTGGATCTAAAAAAGTAATAAAGATGTGCTCGAGAAAGTGCGTTGGTAACAACCTTCTCAGTCCGATCAACATGGCGGATACTGGTTGTGAATGATGATTCATAATCGAGATATCAGGATTCTCGTAAGGAATATTGGTCAGATGCTGCTGGAAAAACATGAATCAAGGGCGATAATGGTCGGTAAAAATGATAAACTCACATCCTTCCGGTAGGTGACGAAACTGTTTATCAGCAAGACAAATCGCCAGTGGTTCTCTTGAGAATGCGTTGTAACGGGTTAAAACCAGTCGAAGCTTTCGGGAAAAGGACGAAAGTGGCTTAGTACGACTGCCTAGCCGACAGCAATTTGGGAAGCCTCAAGTCTTAAAACCAGTTTTACTTCCTTCATCCAGCAGGACAATTTGCTATGGCATCCTTTATGGCTTGTAATGTTGTTTCAGTCTCCTTAGTGAAAGTTAATTTCTCAAGATCCTTTTTAAGCAAGTCAGTCAGTTCCAGAGTCATGCGCAATGAACTGTACGTAGCAGTTGACCCAACCAAGCGAATGCCGCAAGCTGCTTGGCGATTCTAACACTGGATACTCGCGGATCGCTGCTTTTTAGGGGCCTGATACACTTGCATCGATAGTAAGAACTCAAATAACCCGAATGGAGTAATAATGGCATTTTAAGTAGTTCTTCTGGGGGATCACGTGTCTGACGATAAGCCCTGATAAGGTCTAGACTTGAAGACTGGCACTTTCTAAACCTAAGAAGTGAATGTGTGAATTGGGATACCGTTCAGGAATTGTCATTATTCAGGGATCTGAAATCGCCGCAGGGTCACCAGTCTCTGGATATCTGGGGTACCATGTGCAGCGGGGCCAGTCAGGAGCAGTTGTAACGGCGAATTATGCCAGGGCGGCACATATGCTCAAACGCTGTTTTAGTTGCTCCACGTTTATCAGGTGCAAATCATCTGGCCTTAGCAGGTGTTAGCTGACCCGTCGTCACGATATGCTGTATGAATTTGGGGGTAGGTTCGCATGGCGCTTGGGTCACCTCGACGATTTCAGTAAATACCTCCAGGAGCTGTTCATACCTGTTAGAATCGAGTGGTCAAACGAAGCCCTATCGAATTTACTGTGGCAGAAACTACTCATACAGATAGAATAATGTTTTGTCAATAAGCTTACTCTGTCTTATGTTAACGAGATGACCCAACTAAGAAAGGGAAGCAACACCAATTATTGATCGCTGAGCATCGGCCCCTGCAAAAAAGCAAATGGAAACTCGCCTTAGGACTAAATCACTGGTGAGCAACTTGTAACCATACGTCGCAATGAGTTATTTGCAGCTTGAAGTTTTAGATCGAAAGCTGTGGGGTGGCGTTTGTCAGTTTCTGGGACATCACGCTAACCTCGAAACCAGTGTCTATCAGAAATTTTAAGCCGCTGTGTCGGTGGCGTAAGAGCGGCGACTGGATTAAGTGTATAAGCCAGCCGTAGCCTTTACTGATCGGGTTTCGCGATCCCTAAATGTGCACTTGGAAGGTTTGAAGTCCTGTGGGTGGCTGCATTGGTATCAACGGGATTGTGCCTTGCCGCCGTAGCGATGATGGTACCAACGTAGACTATATCGCTTCCAGAGTTGACTACGTTGGTGGAAACGGGAAGCGGGGCGTTGCCGTCATTTTTGTTGTCCAGAAGAAAACTCATTCACTCGCAACAAGAGGTTAACTAATTGATATTGCAAATGTTAACGCCGAAGTTGTTTGTGCTTGCTGCTAAACTAGAGGAGATGGTTTGATTCCCACTCCTTGAAAGGGACACTCCTGGACTTTATCTGCCACTCCTGCGTGTCCCTTTAGCTGTGTTTCAGAGCTCTAAAACGAGATAACTGCACTCACGTTTGCCTGGAGACGTCTGGCCCGTAATTGACGTAGAACTGATTTTTCGACCTTATTATCCCCAATCGTGAGGCGCATGTGCCGAAGGAGTTGAGAAGGGGACCCATCACCTTTTGCGATACCGGAAAGTAGGTATCGAAGATAGGACCCGTTCGGGCTAGTCTTTCGCGCGAGAACTGTTGCTTTCAACTTTTCATAGGAGCATTGGATCAAGCCAGTCAATAACCCCAGTGGCAATATCCATCGGCAGCAGTACAGCCAAATGAGAATAAATGGGGGCCTCAAGTTGTATGAACCATACTCCGAGGGCCGGAACTGTGCGGAGAAGATTTTACTGCTGTTTTCTGAACAGGAGTTTCGGCCCTAGAACCACTCATTGAAAACAGAAGAGAGTTATGATAAGTCTGAACGAATTCACCAATGAAGGTCACCAAATGTGGTAGCCTGCTTGCACTACCCTACACCCCTACCAGTTAGCGGCCCGTAACAACCCAAGGACTCAGACACGACAAGTAACAACGGATGCGACCACCATTGGCGTCAGGCCAGCCAAGTGCGTCTGCGTGGGGATTATGTGTGCGTGCTTGTCAAGTGACTGAAAGCAACAACCAATGAAAAGTAGGAGTGAGTCATTGACACGAATCGGTCAGTAAAAAGCTTCACTCGTGTTCGCTAACAATCCACTACCCAAGCGTCGACTCATCACGAGCTTTTTCGTTTTCTTTCATCTCAAAGGTGTTGCATATTTGTCATCCATTGAATCACCTTCATGGTTCGACAGATCTCTTTCTGGGGTCATAATATGCACGCGTATGATCGACACGCAAAACACATATTCAATGCCACCGTGTGTATGTGCTTGATGACGCTGATAGACCGTCGCCGCTTTTACATAGTCAATTAAATGTATTCAAAAGCCAAAAGCTCTTGATATCATGATAAAGGCAAGTTCATTGTAATTTAATCAAAGAAATCTATCGACGGTTCACATTTTCTTACAAATTTCACCTCGCAACGCTTATAATCGACGCACTGGAAATCACCTCGCTACCGGTGGAAGTCAGTTCAGTTTCTTTATTCCCTGTTACTGCTACAATGAGTGTTGCCCCGTGCAATTATGGTGCCTTCTTGTCACAACTGTCTGAAATTTTAAAGGGAACCAAAATTCTCATTTGGGTCCTTGAAACATACCAAACAAGCATTCAAAACCCACTCTGTGTGTAGGGACTTTGGTGCACACCGATGTTAAGTCCCAGCCGATCAATTGCGTGAATCGCCGTTTTTTGTGGGCTTCGCGCACTTCGGCTATTGGGTTTTAATCAAGTATGTGGGTAAGTTGTGTTGCTATACACTTCAGACATTTCTGTCTTATGTTCAATTTCTCTTGCTATTTCTCCCTAACTTTGTCACTATTCATTGAGAGGGGGGTATTCGAAATCCACAGCAAGCTCTCGCTACGTAAAGGCTCGACCTTGTCCTTCAGTTTTCAATCTCCGTCTCATTGTGTTTTGGCGTCTTCTGTAGTTATTTGATGTATCAAGTCTCAAAAACCAGAGAATTCTGTGATGAATGTACACATCTTTTTTGAATTATGGAAGGCAAGCCAAATGACACCTATGCCCTAATTTATCACCAAAAGTGCTTTATAAATCTGAATGAATGGTTCAGTAGCACGTATTTGTTTGGGGCAGACGTTTAGCAGATGTTTGTACAGTTTTTTCTTGTTTCAACTTCTAGAAAGTTCGTCAGATCCCCCTACTAGACACCCCACCCCCTGCCCGAAGTTCTTGATTTTGCCTGTCAGCGTTTATAACCGAATCACTTCCATGAAACGGATGCTTTTGGATGGTTTCAAGTCTCCAGTCTGTCCCAATATTGGGTGGTGCGTAGCTGTTTCTGATGAAGGCACGGAGACGATTGGGGATGAGAGAACTCCAAAGCTTCCGAAAACACCCAGTTGGGCTCGATGGACCGGTCTGGAAGAAGCCCTCACCTCTCCCTCGTGGCTTTTATCAAAACGCGACAAAGAGGAGGAACCTGAAGTTAGGCTGGTTTTTGTTCGACGCCAATCCGACGACTGTGGGGAGGCTATCAGCCCTGCCTTGAGAAAATCAATATTTGGTCGTGAGTTTTGCTTTTCCCTAATTACTCTGGCGCGAAATCGTTGCCTGGATGCTCAAATCTGATGGCTCGTCAAATTATTTGATGCTTCCCTCTCTTGCATCAGTAATAAGGCGCGCAGGATTTTTCTGTCCTGTCACTGTCGTAACCAATTTTATATTTACGAGATTTTGATGATCCCAGAAAATTCATGATGTCTATTATCCTAACAGTCGATAATTAGGAGTACAAATAACGTGTTAGATAAAAGAAGGCTACTTAGAAGGACGATTGATGAATTTTGTTAGAAGATTAATCAAAGTTGTTTGAATAGGATCCGTCACGTATGAAACTTAGTTTAAATAAATCGCGGATGTTTCTCCTTGCAGTCCTTCCTTTTTATCTACTAAACTAGGAAAATTCTGATTTGGACGTTGATGCGCGATCCCATGGGATTTACACAATTTCGATTCCACACCGTACTTTTCCCTGCTCAAACTGACTACTTGCTATTTCCCTGAAAGCAGGCATTGCCACCTTTCTCAAAGAGCCTCATTGCCTAACAGATACCAGCAATTTTGATTTCCACGCGAATCGGTCATTTTCAGGTGGCGCTCTTTTCATCGTCCCCAAGCCGACAGTTTATACTGTCAAAATTCAATCAACTACTTATCGCACTTTTTCTGCATTTATCGCTCTAATCTTCACTTGTTCTTTCTAGTTGTTGTATCACTTGTTGTTGTTGTTGTTGTTGTTTGGCATAGCGGAAAAAGCATTATTTAGCACAAAAGCCCATGAAGCGAAATACACTAAAAACTGAATACCATTCTTAGTCATTTCATCATATGATCACTGCCCTATGCTTGAAGTCGTGGTACCGCAATAGAAGAAAAGTCAAAATGCCTGCAGAGAATGTTAGTAGTTTATCGTTCGCTTTTTTCTATAACTCAAGATTGCTGAATTTTTTGTTCGTGTCGTATTGCATTGTGGTGCTGGGATGAATGAAGTCACCTGGACTTTCAATCAACAAATTCCTGTTCCATGCTGGCGGCTAATCCGAGGACACGCCAGTTTAAAAATTACAAATTGGTTGGTGCTAATTTGCTATTTCAGTTTGCTGCAGTCACAGTGTGAACAGAAAGCAAAGTAGAGCATAGACGGCACGCGGACACAGACACGTGGGGGATTCAATCAATACAGCAGCGTTCAGTCAGTGCCGGTAGGGTTGGGTTTAGTCACACCCCACTCTCATTGCCCTCTTCCGTCAAATGCTTTATTGAATGCACTGTTGCTTGATATCAGGGTTCTCACTGTAAAATTTGTCAAAACCGGTTACTTGTGCCATCGAACCAAGTCCGCCTGTAGGCACAGCGTTGCTGTCGACCTATCCATTGTCATGTCGGAGTTGTTGAAGCAGTCTGCATGTTGTCCATGTCTCAGACCGGAGGCACGTCAGTAGGCTCGTGGAGAGGAACGGAGCTGGCTCGGATTGTTTTACCACTGATTTTATTCAGAGGAATTTACTGCTTCATGCTTTCCATTTTTAAGCTGCACGTATTCGTCGAACTCGTCTGAAGGGCACAGATCAATTGGTCATGAAGGTTAAACAACTGATAGCTCCTCCAAACTCTACGCCTGCCCAATCAGATGAGAAACGGCAGGCCACCACATCCCCAGGCGCTATGGAGGGTCTCTCATTCCGATACATTTGGTCTCTTGACTACCGCTCCTGTCCCGTCGGCATTGGCATTCGTGACTGCATCAACATGTCAGTCAGCACCTGCCGTAGTCGCCGCCCCCTTCCTCCCCTCCTTGATTCTGGCGTGGGAGTGATGCTTGTTGTGGGTGCCCATTCGTCCAGTGTGACAAACGGGAGCACTGACGAAGAAGAGACAGGGAGCTGCGGTGAGCGGTGCCATCAACAACAACACCAGCGCCCCACACGGTCGTGCCTCCCACCACAGCGCCTTGAGGTTGTGGACAGGGACCTCGAGAGGGCTCTTCAACGAGTGGGTTTGCATCGACTGAAAGCATATCATGATCCTGGTTGTATCTTGGGCCGAGCCTTGTACAATAAGATTTCGCCTCCTTTTCAAGCCGCCATAACCCCTAGTCGCTTTTACCAGCTTTGACCATTTAGAGCCGTAATAGTTTGCACCAGGCACGTCATCAAAATCGACAATGATGTTGCGAATAGATTCATTCTCTAGGTGTCAAATCAAAGTGTAATTAATTTTTTTGCAGGATCATGCCTTTTATCAAAACCATTAAACATATCGATTAGTATTCTCTGGTCACAAATTTAACCTTTTCAAACACGTAAATATAAAGACGCCAGACGTGTTCAAAATTCATGGGTCACGTATGTCCTGGCGGTAGTACCTCTTAGCATTGAGGAGATGCCCGCCTCGTCATTTCACGAACTGTGGGGATACAAAAAGAATAATGAAAATTTTGTAACCTTATTTTTTATACGAAAATTTGGACCTCTCAGTGTCATTATTAATTGTTACACATTCCAAAAAAGCAACAACGCGGTTTTTTACTACAAACGCATGTAGCGTAGCCCTAAATATTTATTCATTACCAAAACGATTCATTTGAAATTAAGTATAACATAATTCCTCATGGGTAGGTGTCATGACATATTTTTGTGTTATTCATAACCTGAAAAGCGACCTATCAATTTTCTGACGCGTTCCGAGGCTGCCTATTTTCAAACGCTTCTATCCATAATGCACTAACGTATAGAGAAGAGATGTGTTACCACGTTTTGTTGGTTTTTAACAGCCCGGAAATGCAACTACTAAGGCGTTTTCCAGTAACAGTTGGCAATGTATTATTGCTAAAGTCAACAACACCATATCGCACCTGACCTCCGAAATTTGAACACATTTAATTCCTGAATATAAACACGTTAAGTTGCTAGGCCTCTATAATTGGCCTCTCGTAGAAACAAGATACTACCAATGTGTATGTTCTTTTGTCTTGATGAGTTATAACTAAAAGCATAATTAGCACTTTCAAAAATTTGACCTGTACAGGCAGATATTAGCTTTTGATGGGGTGGCTCCCCACATTTATTATACTTTTTACCTTAGCGTTACTAACATCGAAAGACAGGTAAGGCGATGTAGGAAAACTGTCTTGCACAGCGTCCAGCCCACGCGGCGGCGTTTGTGAATTTGTCTTCGCTTCGGCTGATAGCTGTGCTTCTGGCCACGTGCATATTCTCTTTGTTCTAATCCTACTTGCAGTCAAGGTGACGTGAAGACTTTGAAATGTCCTCTCCATGTTGAGCATTCATAACTATTTCATTTTATCACGTAACTAGTATCAAGGAAGAGAAATCATTAGTTATTTGCGTTGAGTGCACCAGCAGCCAATTCCATGGTGAAATTTGGTCCCATGGCAACGGTGTAAATCACGCCATACTCTTTCTTAAGCTTGCTCGTCTGCTACAAGCGAGGTGTAAATTGGATGGAGGCTGTATATTAATATTTCGTTGGGTTTGTCTTTAGACTTACAGGCCTGTTTGTGACGCGATACCAAAGTGAACATAATAAATGGCACGGCTTAACACACTTTGAGGAGTAACTTACCAGTATTTCCATAATTTGTCCAGCATTTGATCAAACAAGAACCTCCAGTTTGCCATGTTCCAGCCCCTGGTAGGTGGGGACATATCTGGTTTTCCGGAAGGTTCCGTCCTAAACAGTCTTCTGAGGTTTCGCACGCCTAGTGATATTTTTCGGGTTTTACGTAACAAGTTTATTGTGTTGTAATCTTTTCATTTACCTGAATTAAGAAGAGCCGACAGCAGCCATAATTGCTACTCCTTAGGGGTCCTAGGACGATCCTCCATAATCGTTTTATATTTTTGATTGATTTCTTTATCCGACAAGAGGACGTGCATGATAAATGTACTTTTGAAACGCGACTACTTGAAGCACAGCATAGTGGATGCGTTTAGGACATTATGATGGGAACTGGGGCGTCTAAGCGTGCCCACCTGTTTGCCGTAGTTGGCTCTGCCGTGCGTTTAACTCCGATTCGTTCTTCTGGAGGCATGATATTTCGTACTAGGGCTGTAAAACCGAGCTTGAATTTGGGACTCGGCAGGTTAGCAAACTGCTTGTGACAATTAAGTGGTGCGTTGGCACACAATGACAATCATATCGCTGTTTATGTCTACTGCTTGCCGATGCGGGCTGCCAATTTCCTAAAACTGAATAAGGCACTTTTGGTTCATTTTGGAGACTTCCGGTTAATTACAAATGACCCCTGCCATAAGAAAGTGGCAGTGTAAGGTAGGTGGAGATCGCATCACCCGAAGACCTGAGATCAGACTACAAAGTGGCACGACATAGGGTTGGGAGGCCCCTGAATAAAATCCTCGCCTGGGTTGAAGATTCCTGATGCAGTCTGTTGGGCAGTTAGCAGGTGTGGTGGGCACACATTTGTTCATGGAATGCGTCACACATTATGATTTATGATTACTCGTTAAATGATACAAATCGATTAGTTAGGTGGGAAGCGGGATAAACAGGACCGTATTTAGGTGGTGTCACGTACTTCGGCGGGGCCGGGGGGACGTGTGAATCCCACACCTAGTGCGGGCGTTTGGCGCGCTCCGGTCCGGCGAACGCCTCGCACGCCTGTGCGCAAGCTCTTCCGTATGCTCGGAAAATGCTTATTGTGCACACATGTAGGTAGTTTTTCTTCATCACTTTGTCCCACTTGCCTATCTAAACCTCCGATTTCATGAAACCGATCCACAAATACACCTTGTTCTATTCAGCACGTTCTTATTACCACTTTCTTAGAGTTTGGCTGATGGTCGTCACAAGCATACGTCAAGCGTGAAACAGGAGCCATCGGTACCACTGTCTTCGGAGACTGTACAGAGGCGACCAAGGCAAAAAAGAGCTGCTTATTCGTCCAATTCCGCCCTCGAGGGGCAGAATAATCGAAAGACCACAACGGAAAAAGCGCCTCAGCGGCTGCCATCAGGGGTTAAGGTATTCTCTCCACAACAAATTTATAACCATATCTACTCACACATTGCGAGTAGTGAACTTAAAGTTTTAATGTTTTAGAGGGTCAGGTCGGAAGTAGTACTGTCTGCGTGTACTGATCTATCATCATCTGTAAGAAACATCGGCAATACTTGGACACATCGCTTGCGTTCAAACTCACCTTCAGCAACATCTGATTCAGGGATTTCCGGTAGTCGACGGAAACAGTCAAAAAACTCCCAGGTGGTGAATAACTTCCGAACTGATGGTGCCGCTCCAGCTATTGAAAAATCGTCCATTTCGCTTGGTGGTGATGGAGGTAATTTTCGCATCTGAAGCACCAAGCAGTGCCTCAATAGTTAAATGGTTACGCATATGTCTCAACTTTCCTTTCAAACGTGCAAATTAGACGAATTTACCACTCAAGATAGGCTGAACAAGTTTTATATCGATTGACGTAATGAATGAATGACAAAGCCGGCTGGTCACATATCGAGTAATAGACCTTGTTTAAACAGTGCTAATGATTGGGGCTTGTTATTACAGAACACCATGTGGTCGTCGCTTCAGTGGATTTGGAGAGGGCGAATAAGGGGCTGGATGTTGCCGGTTCTGTCATACCGAAGTTGACTCTGGCAATTGGGGAAAACGGCTGTGTGCGGTTGAAGACCAAACATCGCCTTCCTTGCCAAAAACTCCTGCCCATGACGCCAGAAAATGGTGATCCCTATGCTCTTCCCTCGTCACCTCCCACCACACATGAGACGACTAGCACTTGTGGTATCGCGGCAACGGAGAACCGCTCTTCGCCAGACTCCCCGGTTCTTGTGCCTGAGGAGGAAATTTGGCCGGTGAAAAAGTAAGGCTCGACTTTTTGTGTTAATGAATTTTCCTTCGTAAACGTATTTTAAGGCTTATTTTTACCATGAGCCTCTGGCAACCAGCTTGAATTGACATTGTTGTGGGCCCCACCACGTGGTCTTGAACCACGCCGGGGCCACAGAACTAACTCTGGTTCGATTACGCTACCCTGCTAGCCGTGTTGATGAAGAAGACCGGAGAGGACGTGGACACAGCCGCTAACTTGAGAGCTCAACCAGGTTGGCGTCATTGTATCGGGTGTGGAGTTTGCGCGTGTGTATTTATAGCTCGGATGTGTGAAATAGCGTAAATCGTAGATGTCCTAACATAAAGACCTAGGCGAATGTTATTACGCGTGGTGATAATCCAGGATAATCGTTTGCGCTAATGAGGTGTGACAGCATACTGTGAAAAGGGTGACATTGTGTCGACGAATGGAGCGACCGAATTAACAAGTGTGAATCACCGCGAGTCATAACAAAATAAGTATGTTTTTGGGGGGATATATTAACATACATGCCAAGATTTTACTGCAGACATCGATCAAGGATTGACGCCCATTATTAATTGTACCTACTTTTTCAGCTTGCATCCGGTTTTCATTGCTCAAACTAGTTGAATTTGATTAAATACCTTCTGTTATACAGGGAAAATGTTGAAAATAACTAACTGACCTGATCATAAGAGGTGCTTGGTATCAGAATAAAAGTACAGGGGCCAAATTCACCAAAAATGATGTATTCTTCTCGGACCACTCGATGTATTTCGTCGTAGAGGTGTATTTGCGTTGGTTTTTTAGCCTCGTAGGCTTAAACCACTTCCAATTTGTCTGGCTTGGTGAGCCATTCGCTAGGTGACCGAAAGTAAGGTGCCAGGCTGGCAGGCAAGGGATTACTGATGTGCGTCAAGTAAAGGAAAGGGGACAATACCATTTATGTGTGACGCGGGGTTATATTGAAGTTGCAATTTTCAAAAAGAGTTTTAGCTTTGTAAAATTCGTCAGGTTGAAACACTAGTGTTTTTGCAACAATAATCATCAGCTTTGCTGAATTGGGACGAGTCGCAACAAATGTGTAAAGTGCCTGAAAACTCGAACCCAGCCACAAGCAAGCAAGTTAACAGCACCTTCGGTATCGAGACCATGGAGCTTAGCCCTAGGGGTTGGGCTTATTTATACCTTTCGTGATGTGCATGTATTAATAAGGTCACTGCTCGAATTGTGGCTCCTGCACATGGTCAATACTAATTCGAAAAACCCCGCACTTTCTCCGTTTTTAATTGTTATAAACTAGCTACCACATTAAGTCATTTAGGCGCACGATTTTCCTTGGCGTTTTCTAGACCCTAGGGCTGCAGAATGCAGTCACGCGAATACTCGCTTAGAGTGGAGACTGCGGTCAAGTTCATGAATACGTTTATCTTCAACATAGAATCATTTGCAAAAATTACTCTTACTAAAATGCACCCAATATCACAGCTTGCGAGGCTTTTTTAAGCCTGCGTGAGCGCAATTGCGGTCGATAATTTTTTTTCATATTCTCATGTATCGTGGATCTTTGTCTTAGCGCAATGTTTCCGCTTTCTAACAGCAATAAAAGCAGAACTCTTGTGGTACCAGGTGGTAGTTTGTGGACCCGAGGCAAGAAGACAGCAGCAGCAGCAGCATTCAGTCAATTGGTTCCCGAACACGCAACAACCACTTCTCCCTCATCGTCCTCCCCTGCTACTTCAAACTGTCTAAATTCCTTGCACATTGGTTCGAGTTTGCCTCAGTCGCAACAGGCACCGCCACCACTACCATTGTTAGGCATGCACCATCAGCATTCCGTCCCTCATATTTTCCCCACGGCCGTAAGTCGAAGTTTCTGCACACTTCCTCTGTGTAAATTATGCCACTACACCGATTCTTGGTTGGTCTAGGCAAATCCAAGTTCAACTGGGGTCCCCTCTTCGGTAGTGTCGCTGGCACTGGCCGCAAGCCTCCCTTCATCCCAGCAACTCGCTTCCACCCAACCCCTCCCATATTCGCCCAGTGCTGTGATCCCTACTCCACTTCAAACGGTAGGTTAATTTCTCTTCTCTTCCAATACATCCTCATTGTCGTTTGTATACCTAAATTCGACTGTATTCTAATGGTAATTAAACATTTTTATTGTAATTTTCATTGCACTTTGTCCAGATATTGCATTGTCTCTAAACAGTCATGTGAAGGAATTAATTCCGATAATATCAGAAAGCTGTCCCTGTATTCCTGTTTTCGTTAACACATTGATTACTATACGACATCGACACGAAATCACTTGTATACTTTAACAAATTTTACTTAGTGATTTTATCGTCAACATTCTGACAGCTATAGTTCACGTTATGAATCATAATAAAGTCCAAGTCTTGTTACACGATCGAGTCAGCTTTACGTCACAGGCAAGTTTTATTTATGACGCGATAAGCATTAGTTTTCACAAAGAGTAGAAACTAAATGTAAATTTCCACCGCTTCCTGTGGATTGAATCATATGGCAGTACCTCAAGAGCTTCAGACTACAATTCCGGCAAAAGTTGCCAAGCTTGATGATAATTCAGGTTTATTTTGTCCTCCGACAGGCGACATTTAATGATATTCTTAGTCCCAAGCACTTGTCTAAATCCAAATTGCTTCTTACTGCTAAAGATTTCACTACTTTCAGACCACCTGTCTTTCACTTTGGATAGAGTTTTTGTGAATGAAGTGATTGTGAAGGCAGTCATCTTTCATTGTTGAAATAAGATTTAAACAAAAAGCACTTTCATAAGCATTTTTAGCACTTGTGAAATGGAGTAGATTCGTGCACAATTATGAGTTACAAACAAACCACTTTCCTCGGCCTAACTTTTGTGCACGCGTGTGTGTATTTGCAAATGAATTAGAATAAATACCAGTCGATGACTTTGATCGCCTTGATCTGTTATTACTACGTTAGACTGACGCTGCTCTTAAAAGTACTCAAGAACTGGGCATCGCGGGTGGTTTCGATGCTGGTCCCCTTGACAGACTAAGTGCCGCGGCCCAATCCCTTCCTCTTCATCTCAGCGGGTCGTTTTGGAACGGTAGGTCTATCTCCCCCATGTACACAAGGATGCCTCTTTTTACTAGAAACACCTTTTATACTCTTGGCATCTTCAACTCTTGATGTCTGTACTTTCTTTTTTTATTTTAAGAGGGCTGTGTTATAAGTGGAACGCCTTTACGTTCGATGAAAGACTTGAGTGAAATCGAGACGTCCACATGTTCATGAAATCCCAGTTTCTATGTTTATTTTTTTCAGATTCACTTCCATGCCATCACTAATAGTAGACGTCCTTTGATGGAAATGCCCTTATTGGGTTTTAGTTAAACAGGTCAATTTTTGCGCCTACTAGTTTTGTGCAATGTTAGTTCGTTCATAGTAAACTAAACCGTGAGCAGACTATGTTAAACAACAGGTAAAGTAGATTACATGTTTTAGTGCTTGTTTTTATTTATCTATCCTTCAACCAGCTGATTGCGACCCTGGCCGCAGGCCGGCGACAATGTGGACTCCCCGAAACGAACCGCTTCCCCCACCAGACCCTCCCCTGTTCACTCGGGTCCATGCGATGGCATCGAGTAGCACTAACGGTGTCTTCTGTTTCCTACACCCCTCTTCATCGGCTGCGCCAACCCAACCAACTCTTTTGCCGGCAGTCATGTCAAATCAACACCAACCGACGTTTTTTAATGCTGTAACCACTGGCTGCCCCGCACTCGCCCAGGAGACGGCTGCCGCACTCGCCCTCGCTGCTGCCGCGGCCGCCTGCTTCCCCCCGGTTGCCGCTCCACTAACCCAACCACTAACTCCTGTGGCCTCCACTACGACTTCCTTTGCAAAACAACCCCCGGTGACTGCTACCTTGTGGAACAGCCACCACGGGAACGGTATTCACTGAGGTCACCCGTCCTGCCGGCTTATGTGTTTTTTCTTTCCTTTTCCTCCTCTCCCTCGTTGTCGTATGCGTTTGTACAGACAACGCTTCGTGATATATTTGTCAACTATACTTCTCTGTTCTGAAACTTGCAATGTCTTAAAATGCACTAATGTGTAATATTCTTGATTGATTTTTTGTCTTAGAGATACATGGACTCTTACTGTGGGAATTAATTGGTATACGTGGTTCGGCAGATTCATTGAAACTAATCGACATGGAGCATATAAACATGACTGAGAGCTTAAATGCAACACCATTGACTATTTTTAGTACACAGTGCCAGGTATTAGTGATTGCCATGCCATAAACCTTTGTGAATCATATTCAAAAACTCACATCAGAAGACACTACGTCTGTGGAGGGTTTGCCACATGGGTGTCGATCCTCACCACGAACAGGTGGTCAGCTTCTCCTTGTCGGTTGAGGCAAATTGCAACGTCCACCAAAATTCATGTAAGTCCTGGCTTTGTAGAAGGGATGTAAGAGTGAGTGGGGTTACTAGATCCACATGGAATGTGTGTTTCCAATGTGTCGTGGATTACACTCGACAAAATTATTTTGGACTTACCAATTACATCTACATGGTAGGCGCAACAACTCTATAATCCTGAAGTTTTTGACATTTGCAAGGCCTAAAAGGTGTCCCATGGATGGCTAGCCGGAGACGGTGTGGAAAACCCATTTTTCGTAAATTGTGGTTATTAACTCGTGGCTTATGAACAACGGTAGTGAACCGTTTAATCATCGATAATCAACACTGGCCATTATTATTGTATTTTAAACAAAGTATCTTTAAAAAAAATCAAAAAAATTATGTAACAACCCGATTGTCTGTGTGAACATTACTTCACTTGAGTTCGCTCCGTATGTTGTAGGCAATAGGTTTTTGTAGTAAATTATTGCTGAAGGATGGTAAAGCTGCAATTTCCAGGGATAGCACAATGGGGACAAACGGAATTATCATTATCAAGTCCATACATTTGGAACAAGACTACTTGCAGTCAGACGAAAAGTTGAAGTTCGACTTCCAAAATGTTAGCAAGCATCAATGAAAAAGTGGTTTTCTAAACATTGGTTCACGTATTACAGTAATCGAAGCCTTCGTGAGATGAAGGTTATCATTAAGCATTTGCAACAGTATTAACTGTGACTGAATACGTCATGAGTAAGGCGAATGCAGGTAATTGAATAGACCGAGATGAGGAAGTGAATTTTGACATCTCCCACATACCCATAAGGCTTGTGGGGATTCATGTTGATTCATGTCCAATAACCCAGTCCTTGCAGCTTCCAGCACACGTCCCCCCTTTTCACGACCTGTCAGTCAGTCACGAGAGGCCGCTGGTTCATTAATCACACTGCATGGCCCACCACCACCCGTTTTAGTCATGTGACATCACAGACACCTGTTAATTTTTGTACGTGTCCACTGAACTGTAATTGTACATTACACAACTTGGTTGAGCGGTCTAGTAAACGGATGTGCCTTCTCCACTCCGGTCTTCTTTATTTTCGCGGGAACACAGGGTAACGTATACGGCGTAGATTGTCGCAGTGGCTCCGGCGTGGTTTAAGACAATATGCCGGGGCCCTCAACAGGCTTAATAAAGTAGATCAAAGAGTATGCCTACTAGAGCGAGCAGTGATGGTAATTTCTACACGGCTGTGAGCTAGCAGTTGGTGGTAGTAAAGTGCTAGGATAAGGTGCAACCAAACTGGGTCATGCCACAACCTAAAACAAGCCTCTAGGTGTGTTTTAATGGGCAATTAGGAATTTCAGGGAATAACAACAGGGATCGAGGATTTAGCCACTATGGGAGACCCGGGTGGACGGTGAACAACAGACGTATCTGCTTCTGATCTGCTTATAAACCCTATATTTTCACCAGTATTTTCCCCAAGCACGGGCTTCGATATGTTGCAGTATTTCAAATCATCTGCCAAAACTTCTAATTGTTAAGGTATGCGAGGTATTCTTCCAGATGCCTTTAGTTTGTAATATGGTGGTTTTGACTAAACCGTGCAAGGTGTCAAATATTTAAATGGTTGCATTTAGACTTCAAGCGTAATCGTCACGTGAGCACATGACACATGGACTGAAATATATGGGTGACAAGGTTTGTGATTCTATTAGTAAAAACAATTAGTCAGTTGCCTTTTAATAAAAAAGGGTCCTCTTCTCACAAACAAAAGCAATTAATGATGGGATGTACAAATATTCACTGTAAATGATGGACTAAGTGTCCTATTTATATGAAGATTTAAGAACCGGAATCTGCATAAATTCAGAAATATGTAAACATCTGAAATTAATGAGATAAATAACCGCATTTAAGCTGAGCAGATTTTAATGATACAAGTGCATTCTATCATCAAAGGTGGATCCTATAAATTCAGAGAATTTGATTAAATTTTCGTTAGACCGAGTTTTATTTTAAATATTCATGATTATTTCGTTAAGGAAAAAAGCAACTGTGCCTTGAAGCACTAACGAATCTGGGTTGGTTCAAAGTCGCTTCGCAAAAATCTTCAATTTTTAACTTCGCTTCATTTCTGTAATTGAATTACTTGGTGAAAAAAAGCAATAAAATATTTCAATGGTCCCTGGATAATGTACTATTAATAGGCACTTAATTTTTAATACTAGCACTAAGGCACAATCATTTCGCAGATTGCGAAAAGAAAAGTTAGCATGAAGCTTATTGGACAACTTAAGCCGCGCTTTTAGAAACTGTTGCACACTTCGAAAGCAAGGCCTTGAGGATGGACGTCATTGAGGGGAATTTGAACGATGTCACATTGGCTTTGGTTACGAATGTAGATTACTCCAGAAACACAAAAAAATCACTTTTCGTGCCCAATATCGTTGTATCATTTGTTGGCAAGCTTGTTATGCCAAAGACTACCATTCGTTTAAATTTGCCACACAGACCAGCAGGTGCTGATGTTTGCATTATTGTAAAGGATATTAAAAAGACAGACTATAACGCAAGTAGTAATATATGGAAGCAGAAGTGGCGAAGAGATGCAGCGAAGTCGTCGACCACGCTCCCTTCCGTTACATTCTTGCCAATAAGCGAATTAAAGTTGTGTTATCAGTCGTATGAATCTCGAAGAAAGCTAGCAGCAACGTTCGACGTCTTTCTTGCTGACAGGAGGATTGTTCATCATCTTCCTACAAACTTGGGGAAGGCCTTTTACAGTCATGCCGCCGGTAAAATACCCGTCCCTGTTTCACTTGGACAAAAGAATCTGGTGGATGAAGTAAACAAGGGGCTCCAAACGTGCTTGGTGTTTTTTAGTGGCAAGGGCACTACAGAGTCTGTTGTTATTGGTAATACTGGCATGCCGAAGGAACATATCCGCGAGAACATAGTCGCAGCTGTAAGTAATTGTTTATCGTTTAATGCTCGTTAATATAATGCATTCATCCTTGACTTGGCTTATTATATTCAGAATTTTAATTGCACAAACAAAAATCAGCGAAATGTAATTTTTGGGGACCTGTGAAAATTTTGTATCATGGGTCTAATATGTATCTCTTGCTTTGTTAGACTTCTTATTACCCACACGGTTCACAGTTGCCAAAATCCTCCAATTAACTCCTCTAGTCGACAGCCACCATCACACCCAGTCATGTCCCTAAATGTGTAACCCGCTTAGGTTTTGTAATTTAGAAGCGTATTCGGATTTAATATAAGCGCTATTTATTGGTACTTAACTGGCATACATACTTTTGGCAGGTTCGTGGCGTCGTTGACAAATGGCCAGGTGGTTTGATGGCGATTCGGTCGGTATACGTTCGTGGGGTTGGACCCAGTGTACCCATATATTTTGACAATAATGATGTAACTATGAAAGAGGCCGAAAAAAATTTGTCCGAGCTCAACAATGCAAAGAAAACGCATCATGACTTGGAAGATATGACCATTGCGGAAAGCGACAGTCAAAAATTCATAGCAATGCAAATAAAGCGTTCGAACTCGAAGCTCCCACTTGCACCCCTCCTTGAAGTGGCAGAAAGCCTTCCTGTGACTGAATACCACTTGAAGGAGGCATTCAAAACTGGACCCCCTTATCGGAAGAAAACTATCAAGTCAGGTGGAAGTAGATCCTCTGGCGCGTCTGGGAATCCGCCAAAACTGAAGAAGGTCCTTTTAAAGAAACAGAAAGCCAGCAAATAAATCTTTACACATTATTGCTTTTTTCCTAGTAGTTTATGGTCCTCCATGGTTCTTTTTGCCTTTCGACCAGGGAATTTCTTGTCCTTAAAGGGTATTGCAGTGTTTTCTCGCTCCATTGGCGTTTTACCAGCACTCCAAAGCACAGATTGGTTACCGTTAGGCCACAAAGACCTGGTCATTCACAGCACTGCAGTATGTCTTGGTGGTCGAAAACCATCTACCTGATGGCTTGCGTGTGCCTATATGGCACTAGTCAGATTTATTGCCCGCAGGCAGCCAGACGTAGTGCCGTTTTTACTGGCTAAGCAACTAGGGTTTAGGGGGCACTGGCAGCACGGGGGCTTGAAACGTAGCCAAGGTGTCGGCGAAACGCGCTGTTCTCACTTTCATCTTGGATTGGCATGCACAAATCACGCAACTAAAAGGCTTTAGTTGATAAAGTAAAGGTACGCGTGTCGAGCCAGGCGCAGATCGTAAATGGAAGTGGAAGCCCGAACTTACTTAAGAGGTATCAAACCACTGCAGTTACTCAGTCGATTGGTGCTTGTTAATTGATGAAATAGGTAAGGCTGAAAAGCTTGTGCGACATGCTCCCCCACACTTCAAGCTCAGATTGGATTTCAGCTGCAAGGATTTCAAGGACCACAGCCAACATTGGAAAACCTCGTCCATGTTCCGAAATAGGTATCACAACATTGTAATTAAAGTTGTCAAAACATATTCGATGCCTCACACGAATCATGGCTTAAAACTAAATCAGATGTTTGCGTAGAAATCCAGGGTCCAGGCTGTTCATAAAACGCGTATTGCTAGTTTTTCCCCCGTCAAAATGAAATACAAGAGAGAACAGATCAACGCTACATAAACACATGAAAATATTTATTGAATCGGTCCACGTTGTGGCGGCAGCATTCCACTGGTCGGAACTGATGGCATACCGGCAGGTCTTGGACCCCATGTGGGTGGCATTGGCGGGCCTGGTGGGATAGCAACACCAGGCATCACACCTTGGGGACCCATAGGAGGTCGCATTGCCATAGGTGGAGTTGGTAGCATGGGTGGAAACTGAGGGGGAAAAGCTCCAACAGGTGGCATGCCGGGCATTCCAGGGGGAGGGATTCCCATTGCGCCTCCAAACATGGGAGGAGGTACTTTGCCCTGTCTGTAAGCCTCAGCTAAAGAAAAGTAATAAAAATGGACAATTACAAGCATGGTCAACAAGTTTCTGCACCTGTTCTTCAAGCCATTTTTGGTAATATTCACGGACACTATTTTTGTGCGTTCTCCCAGTGCAGTGTGTTTTTCTCACGGATGGCGAATCGTGAGTAAGAAACTTGTCACAGTAGTCACAATAGTACCTAAAAGAAGAGTAATCGTAGAAAACGTCAGAGATAGCAAAGTTCTAAAAAGTCACAAAACGTACTTAGGCATCTCCAAAGCAATTTGAATAAATGGCCTAATAAGCAGACACACTCAAACAAATGTGGCAGTCTATAAGAAGTTAAATTTGGCTATTTGCTAAACAATATCTGTGCTAGAACGTAACATGTCCTGTTTCCATGCAAAACAAAAATAAAAACAAATACCGTTATTGTTGTGAGTAATTAATCTTTGCAACAACTGCGAATTTTGAAAACCCTGTTGTAGCTCTCTGCCTTTCGGCCAAATTCAGGGCAAATTACCTGTAGGTTTATGTCAAAAACATGAAAAAAAATAACAAAAAAAACACGATTTAGATGTTTGATCTACAAAAAAATGCATTGTGGTGAGAAAAAATAAAGCAAAGCAGTCAGAGCTAAAGCGAAAATTGACATTGAAATGTTCAGTTGGAATTAAGTCACGAAAAAAAGTTTGGTTACATTATTGAACAAATATTGGCATTATAATGGTTTCTAAAAGTGAAATTAACAGACGACCATGACTCGACGCTCCTTCTGGTAAATTAATCTGTTAGATCTTTCAAAAAAGTGTAATGTTGCAGATATCGGCAGATATATTTATGCGCAAATAATAGAAACGATTTTTTAGGGATACATAAAAGGAAACTGTACGCAAAACGATAAGCGATAAATTAAAAAATAATTTGTAAAATCGACATGGTTTTACATTAACAAAAAGTGAAAATTTTAGTGTTTTCAATTCCTGAATTATTTTAAGCATATATGACGATTTATTGGTTCAGTTTTTCTACTCATTTAATTCAAATTCCGAAAAATTCATTAGTTTGATTAGGTCGCTCGATTTTTAACCAAAAACTAAATGCTTATTTTCGTCAGTCTATTCTTTAATGTAGAAGACGAAAACCATAATCAAGCCCATAAGACCACGAGAACACACATTAGTAGAAAATTGTGTGCAAACAAAAATTGTATCTTGCGAACGATTTCATACATTAATAAAGTTCATTAATCCAGCATCAAATTAGTAACGAATCCATCAATATGTAGATCGAATACCTAATCGAATTTTTACTACAAATGTGTGTCTAAAATTTTGTCCTTGTGTGGTATTTATGGCATTTATGTTGCATAAGGTCTATTGGCACAACGCAAATTCACCTCTATTATACTTTATCATATATTGTTGGCATTGTTCATTGCTCACAATTCACAATTTGTAGTTGACCCGTGTCATCCTATTCCCAATATTCTAATGTATTTCAAAAGGGTTTTCCGGCATAGATATTTGAAAAGGTACGGAATGACAAATTATTCACATTTCCTAGTTGAGTTAACCCTTACACTACTTCTAGGGTTTGGTACGGAGCCACTTGGGTGAACCACACCGATTGAAACGCTGCTTGGGAATGGATCGTGGTCACAATGAAGAGGTTGAGAAGGTGCCTGTCAATGAAATGACGTCAAAAGATTACTACTTTGACTCATATGCCCACTTCGGTATTCATGAAGTATTGTCATGTATGGTTCTTCGATGTACAATATTTAGGAAATGCTGAAGGACGAAACGCGTACAGTCACCTATCGCAATGCTCTCCTGCACAATAGGCATCTGGTAAAAGATAAGCTTGTGCTTGACGTTGGCTGCGGAACCGGTATACTGTGCTTATTTGCAGCTAAAGCTGGGGCTAAACATGTGATTGGGGTAGGCAAGATTTTTTTCTCACTGGGCTATAGATCGAGTGCTCAAATATCATTGATCATGCCCGCGATGTTGTTAAATCTAATGGACTGTCTCACAGTGCGTCGAAATTGCATCTTTTGATTATTTTTGCGTGATCAAATTTATTTCCTCTCGTTATTTTTAGAGATAACTCTAATCAAAGGCAAAGTTGAAGATGTTTCACTTCCTGATGGGATTGACAAAGTAGACATCATAATTAGTGAGTGGATGGGCTACTGTCTGTTCTACGAATCGATGCTCAACACGGTTCTCTATGCTCGTGATAAATGGCTGGTAAGCGTTATTGCTATATCACGTATTAGGAATTCTTCCTGCCCGTTAGGCAGTGCCTCGGATTTCTTATAAGCACTAACTCCAGTTTTTTTTCTCATTTAGTCACCTGGGGGCCTTATCATGCCAGATCATGCCACTTTGTATATTTGCGGCATCGAAGACAGGCAGTACAAGGACGAGAAAATCAATTGTATGTTTCTAATTTATTCTTGCATCTATAATGGAGACACTATAAAACCATTCACGGAAAGTGTGCCCATCAGTCCTTCCAAATTGATTTGTTCAATAGAAAGGAAAAGACTTACGATTCCAAATACCTCTTAAGGGTTCATCGATGCCAACCATTAGAACACTAGGCCTATCAAGTTTATACCACGTAGATGTAATGCAATTGAGTTAAAAATACTGCGACCTTAGGTATACACCTTACCGGTGATTGACAAAGTCAGGATTAGTCCTTCGTGATTGCAGTTTCCGCGTTAATTACGCCATGGAAGACTGTAAACTCATCAGATTTGTGAACATTGCCCTCTAGTTACACAATTGTGAATCGCGGTTGTGTCGTTCCCTGGGCAGAAAATGAGACAATTCCGCTATACCTCTAGTTGTTGTTTTGGGGTACGAAGAATTGTAAAACTCGAACATCGATTATTTGAGGTAGTTGTTGCTTTTAGTAGCCACTGAAGCTGTGCCCACACGTGAAACGGTTGTGATGCTCAACCGTGTCTTTTCCCGGGCAGATAAGAATTGACAGTTTTGCTACATCCTACGTTGTTTAGGACGCAGGGTACGATGAGCTGCCACACTGACAGCTTTTTAGTGCATATTTGGTTGACTTCGGAGTGACAGGACTATGAAAGTGTACATAATGACCGGTAAAATGTCAAAATGTTGAGTGGTCAAGCACCCGTAGAGGTTGATACCAAGAGGCGTGTTGCGTGCTCTGGTTAAGCAGTTCGTGTGAAATGCTTTCCAGAGGTTGCAAACCCATCAGATTTGTGAACATTGCCCTCTAGTTACACAATTGTGAATCGCGGTTGTGTCGTTCCCTGGGCAGAAAATGAGACAATTCCGCTATACCTCTAGTTGTTGTTTTGGGGTACGAAGAATTGTAACACTCGAGCATCAGTCCGAAGATTTACGTAGTCGTTACTCAGGACGCAGGGTACGATGAGCTGCCACACTGACAGCTTTTTAGTGCATATTTGGTCAATTTCGGATTGACAAGAAGCAGTTGGTCTTTCAGGACTTTTCTTTTTTTTTTAGGGTGGGATAATGTATATGGTTTCGATATGAGTTGCATTCGAAAGGTTGCTTTGACGGAGCCACTAGTTGATGTCGTGGATCCTAACCAAGTTGTGACCAACTGTTGCCTCGTGAAGGATGTTGACATGTATACCATTCGTGTTGAGGATCTTACATTTTCTGCACCATTCCAATTAACCTGTAAGCGCAACGACTATGTACACGCACTTGTCACATTTTTTAACATTGATTTCACTTGTTGCCACAAATACGTGGGCTTCTCTACTGGGCCGGACGAGCGGCGGTACACTCATTGGAAGCAAACCGTATTTTATTTGGACTCTGGAGAAGGTGATGAGTGTTTAACTGTGAAGAAAGGCGAAGAAATCCGTGGCATCTTTTCAATCATGCCCAACAGCCGGAACAACGTAAGTCATTCCGTAACTGAGCATTTGTCTGCTATGTATTTTGCAATAGCAAATCCATGCGGTGTAGGTGTGGGTGCCAAAAATGAAGCTTCCCCTCGATAAGTGGTCATTACTGTGTTCACCTTTGTTGTGTAAGTTTCAATTTTTCTGAGTTAGCTGCCGATGATTTTGCCGTTCCAATTAGTTAAAAGTGACTCGACGTACCTAACGTGCAATGTTGTTTCTTTTGCCTCAGAAATTGGTCACGTTTCTTGTCAAACCCACTACTCTGTTCTTAATCCCACCAAATTAATCTAAATCGAATCATCTGTGGCAAATTTTAATTTCTTAAGCTAGAAGTAGTATCGGATAAGAAGTGTTTCGAACCTTAACGACCCTATGTGTTGGCCTCACAATTCGCTCCGATCATTGGATTAGGTCACGTCACACGTAGAACGAATCTGTGCTTTTAAAGATCTACCGTTTTTATGCTTTTTCACAATGAGCATTTATTATTTCTCACTGATCTCTCCTAAGGCTTGATACTGTTCGGTCAGTTTACTTCAATTAAATTCTCTCAAAATTCGTTTCCCTTTCAGCGCGATCTAGACATCTCCATCAAGTTGAACTTCAACGGTGAGCTCTCCACCGCTGATTCAAAATTCAATTACCGGATGCGCTAGGTCCCTCTTAAGGTTCCACACTATATCCCCAAGTTTCGCATTTTGTGGTTTATTATCGAGATTTAAACCTACAGCCTTTTGTACACATACAACCTTCACCGACAGATTGTGTGCTTTTAAAATTCCTAAACATTAATGACTCAAAGTCTGCGAATTCCTCTGCATAAGGAAGGCAGTTAAGTTTCGTGGCGTTGAATTGTGCCATTTCGTGGGTCAATAAAGTCGTATATGTTGGGGTTTTCAGTATGAGACAGTTCGGGATAACTGAATTACAGGCATAGCAATGAGCAAATGTTCCAAACGTGCGTCAAATTTACTGTAACCTCAGTTTCTACTTCAAAATCCCCAAATCATTGCATTTGGGATTACCTTAATCGCCTTGCTCATTGCGTCAGGTCAATTACCCCGAAAAACTGTTTTTGCACAAGTTGTAATCTGCTCTCTTCGGTCGTCGCATCGGCCATTGTTCACTTTGATCAAGTCGGATTCGCTGCGGTAATGATCGGATACCTTATTTGCATTAAGTGGTACCTGGGTACAGGCAAGGAAAAATCAATTTTGGTTGTTGAAGTCAAGGTGGTCTGAGGGCATGATGAAGGCGGCGTAAGTGGCATTATCAGACAGTGATTACGCAAATTTGGATGTCTCAAATAAAAATGATGACCCAACATACGAATACGAAATATCATTCCCAAAGGAAATCGAGGTCCGGTTTACGCTGTCTACAAAGATGGTGGGGCATAGATTGAAGAAATCGAAATATGCCTTGGGGCTTAATTGTGAGACTCCTAAAAAGAAACAAAGTGCGGTTTTTAAACGCTTGGTCCCAGGAAAGGTGTGGTCGAGTCATACACTACAGATGACAAAGTCAATTTGTGGCCTCTCCGAAACGATTGTGCCAAAAGAATTGACATGGCGATAGGTTTCTTGGTTCGATGGTGGGAAGTAGGTGTCGTGAGCAGGATTCGTCCGAGTTAGTTGTTCGTTAGAAAGGAGTAGTTCAGCATTTCATAAGGAATTGTGGAAAGTACTGGGTTGATAACTTCAGATGTATTTTCGTCGGCGACCGCGAAGCAACATAAACACACACGGACGTCTGAGGTGATTTGCATGAATTTTGCTTGAGGATTAGAGATGAACGGGGGAAGTTGGCAGAGTTGCTGTTTCCCAAGTGGAACTAGAAGTACCAACAATTGGGAACGGAGGATGGGATTGTGAGAGCTTCGACTAGAGCCATCAGTTGTAGCGTAGTGCCACTCTGTCACCAGGTTTTCATTTACCTCGTGTTTGGAAGAGTCCTGTTGTCTCGAAAACCCCAGCAGATAGTCATGGACTTTCTGATTTGACCGCACATCCAGTGGCAAGTCCGAGTGTCTGTAAAATCTGCCGCCCCTGTCCACAGTGCTCTCACAATCAAGCGGGACACAGTGCACGCACCATGCATAGGCCATTCATTTGATTTACGAATTCACGTAAATTAGACGTGGGAACAATCTTCACATATCAGATACGAAATTTAATGCACACTGACGCCGTATATATAGCACTAATTGGACTATGTAACTAGAAGATGCCTACGTCAACTCCAGCTAAAGAACACAAAACCGGGAATTCAACATTTCCTGCCACTAATTTAAAGACAGGATTTCGTTCTATCCTTTCCCATTTCTGCGAACCACCTGCATTCCATTAACAAATCTTGCGGATTGGCGGGAAAAGTGATCAGAAAATCCGATATTTTTTATCCCAGCAAAGGCGTGACGAAATATTCCCGCATTTGACAAGAGCAAGAATCCCAGATGAAAATTTCTGCAAATGACTGAACATCAACAAAATTGGTTTAATTTTTTTAAAACGTTTTAGACAAATTCTGATTCTTAAAGCCTTCATTAAGGATTTCCATTCCGGGGAATGTACTTCGGCTCAGCCACGCATAAATTATATTCCCTACATAAATAGACAAACAAGGTTA